TGCTCAACCTCCAATGGAACCCGGATTAGTCTATGCTCTGAAATCAAGCTCTCCATCCCCACCACATGCTGATCTTGAGACTAACCACGTCGCTGGTCTCTCTATCGATGAAGCCTAAATATGTGATGTGATCTGAAAAATGTTATCTCTCTCTCTCTCCCTAAGAAGGAGATAAATAATGAAAAAGGGATGTTTTTGCTTTTGGTTCTCTCTATCTCTCTATCTCTTCTACAAAATGAAAAATCCCTACGTATATAAAAAGAACAAAGTTTCGTAGCCAAAAAGATACACAAATATATATATATATATATATATATATATATATATATATATATATATATATATATATATATATATATATATATATATATATATATATATATATATATATATATATAAAATGAAAGAATAAAAAGAGATTAAAAAATAAAAATTATATATTATGGCTACACAAAGGGATAAAAGAAGAAAAGATTAAGAGGAGACGTGTCAGTACGAGAAGAAGTAAGAGAACAAATGTCAGAACAAATGTCAGTTGAAGTTGCAGTAGAAGTTGCTACTGAAGGTAGACAACAAATCACAGAGGATTTATCCAGTGTATTGCCAGTACACCATACGGGGTCTACCATGTCTACCATGGACCCTGTTCTAGAAAATGAAGAATTATTTGCAGACAATTACACAAGAACAAAAGTCTTAGAAGAAGAAGTTAGTGATCTCAATCAAGAAGCCGAATCACCTGAAGAAGAAGGGATGCAACTTATTGATACAGTTGTTCTCACATATCCGAATAGAAGTCCATTCGGATCCCCTCAAAACTTTGTGCAGATGAATGATCAAGATGATGGCATATTTTCATCTGTATTTGCAAAAGTGGCCGAATCCAGTGATGTTGTTTGTCAAACAATTGGAGAAAAATTGGTTGAACAAAATCAAAAGCTAGAACAACAACACACGGATACCTGAGTCAATCTGAAAGAACTCATGGAGCATCAAAATATTTTGAAGACCCAGATTGACAAAGAAGAAAGAGTCTTGAAAGGAGAAGTGACGAAAGGATTACTTGAAGTAATTCAACTCATGAAGAAAGAACGTGAAGCTGCCGAAAAGATTCACAACGAACTTCACTTGAGACAGATCAAGGCGATTCAAGACCAAGAAAGCCGAATCAACAAACTTGAAGTTGAGCTCGCAGTTACAACAAACAAGCTGGACAACGTACAAACCGTTTCCATTGAAACGTACAATAGTGTTGAAACTGTGAAAGCAAACCAAGACCGAGATTTTAAGACCCTTGCATTTTTGGTTGATAACGCCAAAAGGGGGGAAGAAATTCTCAGTCACTTGGCTTTGCAGCAACAAGAATTTATTCTTGGAAGCCAACAACAGCCAGTAATATCCACTTAAGGTAGAGGCCGAAGCCGCAGACAATCCTCACAAGGACCATCTCAGATTGGTTTTGCTCAGTTCGCAAATACTAGTCTTGGTACGAGTACATCGAAGGTTGCTGAACAGCGTGGCTGGCTTGAATGCTCTAAGGGCACCGCCACTCAGACAACAATATGGACTAAGGAAAATCTACGAAGCATGATCAAGAAATGGCCTGCAGCCGATCAAGCTCAATGGATCTCGGAGAAGAATAAAGAAGAAGAAGGCAAAAGGAAAAGAACCGAGATGTGGTATGAATTAAGAGATTTCACTGGAAATATGGGCATGAATCTTGGAGAAGAAAGAAGCTTCGAAGAATGTGTCTTATGGTGGGAAGCCGGAGTTCTTCCGGGCAACAATATCAAAGAAGCTTTTGGACATTACATGGTCGGACAGCTTACAAAGAAATTTCAGAATGCAAAGTTCAAAGATGATTTCTTCAAGCTCAGAGAACATGTCAAGGAAATTTTGAAGAAAGACTCTGGTGTGAAGAAACCCAGAAGGTAATCTGAAAATTCTCTTAAGCTGATATTTTCTATTTTCGAACCTCTGTTGCGTTTTTCTCTATAAATTCGAAATATATAAATAATAATTTCCCATGGTCTATTTTGAGTCTTTAATTTTGTTTGTTTAATGTAATTAGACTTTCGTGAATTAAAAGACAAGAAATATGTCAAACGCACGACAAAATTAAAAAATTGATGATGATCAAAATAAAAATAATTCAAGATGCGTTTAGGAGCTTGTCTAAAAATCAATTCACAAGTTTCTTTTGATTGTGTCTAGAAAACCATTGTTAAACTCATCTTGTCTTTGTCAAATAAAATTGAGCAAAAAGATTATTTTTCAAAGACTTAAAGCCAATGACTGATTATAGGTTTTGACATTATCAAAAGGGGGAAATTGTTAGGAATAAAGTATAATGGTTTTGATATGCCAAATGTGTATTTGTAGATCCCCCAATTTTATTTCTTAGGTCTAGTAGAGTCTTAGACCATGATCGGGAAATTATTTAAATTGGAAAAGAGAAAAACAGAGGAAGATGGATGAAAATAGAAAAAGAAGATATAAAGCCTAAAATCAAGAATTTGTCTGGAGAAAATGACAAATTGAAGAAGAAGATGAATGATACAATATTCACGTCAATGCTACTCAAAGAAAATATCCCAGGAGAATTTTCGTGAAGAAAATTAAGATTGGAAGAATGCATGAAATTGACTTGGAGATCAAGCATCTATGGAAAGAAAGGAGTACATCAAAGAAGATTGGAGATTTAATCAAAAGTTGTATGGACGAAGTGGATGATGCTTGATATATTATGCGAAATGGCTCAAGTTCGAATCTTACTATCAACAATTTTACAAGGTAAAATTTGAGAAGCCAAATCTAATTAAATCTAATGGAGTTGGGCGCTAGTTTGGCTTTTGGCGCCAATTACAAGTGGGCCAATTACAAGTGGAATTTGAGAAGCAATTTCACTTGGGTGGCAATCTTGGGAGTAGAGCCATCAAAACGGGCTTAACCCGTCCCGCCCCGCGTAAAGGATGGGGCGGGCGTTGATATTTTAGGCCCGTATTTTGGCGGGCTTTATAGCACGCCCCGCCTAATCCACGGGCTTTGGCGGGGCGGGCTTGGCGGGCCGACGGGGTCCCGCCAAGCCCGTCAAATATATGATAATAAAAATTGTTAAAATAAATAAATGCAACAATAGTACATTTGTAACATTAAATATATTAAATATGTCTTGTCAACTTGATTATATTTCTAACATTAGTGTGTGTGTGTATATATATATATATATATATATATATATATATATATATATATATATATATATATATATATATATATATATATATATAGCCTCAATGGAGGCGTTATTAGTTCTTTGTGTTTCAGTAGGTTGAGAAAGTATATGAACAGATAGTACAATGTAATAACAACTTTCAAAATATATATATATATATATATATATATATATATATATATATATATATATATATATATATATATATACTAGTATGATACCATGCGATGCATGGACTATTTATTAATAATATTATTATGAAATTTTATATGTAATAAAATATCTTCTTTTTTTAAAATGTTTGACATTTATATGTTTAAAAAATATAATTTTATATAAGTTAAATAATTTAATTAAAAAATTAACATGTAAATGCAAGATAATTAATACGCAATTACTAAATTCATTCACATTAAAATGCAAAGTATTATAAATATATGAATTATTGAAAACTTTATGGTGCACAATGTTAGTTGTTGATGTAGAACTTAGCTTGTACTTGAGTCATTTGCAATTGTTAATATTTTAAGATCATTTGGATTGTTGACCCGAGAAGCAACAACGTACCAAATGGATTGTTGATCGGAATGCATTTCTTTGAACCGTTTGTTTTTGAGAATTATTATTTATAAAGGAGGTTATTGTAACATTTTGAATAGATGTTAGATATTCATTCTCTGTAATAAAAAAATAAAATATTATATACATATATTTAATATCAAGTATTATGTTAAACTAATAATTTTGAATTAACATTAAATATAATTTAAAATCTCTTTATACACGTAATATTATCTTTTTAAAAGTTTCATCTAAATTTAGAGTGTAATACATTTATAAATTTAGATATATTTTTAACTTGTATCTTATGTGTGGTATAAAACCACCAATCTCGTTAACTGTATATATATAGAGCTTATGGCAATACAAAGATACAAAATAAATCAATTAACATTTTTTATAATATAATAAAAAATAAAAATTTTAATGTAACAAATGCGGGTCCAATACATTATAACATTTATATTTCTAATTTCTAGACCAAACCTAGCCCATTGCTGCAGCCCCACTACCCAAAACCCACTAAACCCAAACATAAAATGAAAACCCCAAACCCCAAGACCGACCATTCGCCTTCTGACTCTTCGCTTCGCCTTCTTCCTGCTGTGCTCCGCCTTCTGCCTGCTCCTCTACGCCTTCTCTCTATTCTGAAGGCATTATTGCCTCCCTTCACTCAACATATTTGCTTCTTCTTAATTGCTTTGTTGAACTACTGCAAATTTCATCATAGCTTCAAATAGACTTTTTTTTTTTCTGAAAAGTTTGCAGAGAATTTTCAATATTCAGTGATTGTATTTTATTATTAAGCTTTGAGTGAAACTAAGCCTTGTAATAAAGGCATGAATATTGAAAATTGTATTAATCTTTATGAAATATATGTGGTGAAGAATTATGAATTTAACTTACCTTTTTTTGTGGTAATAACAATATAGCAGTATAGCAAGGTTGCGGACCTGTGATCCTTCTGTCCATTTCAGTTGTTGTGATTGGACCTCATATACTGTAAAATATATACTAATATTACAATGAAGCTTGTGTTGCTTAATACAGTACCTTTTCTAGCGAGAGAAAGTGAAAGGATGCAGGGCTTCTTCATGCCTGGCTGCATTATGTCTGCCTCTTTCTATCATTCTTCTCTTTTGCGTCAATGTTATTGCCCCCTTTACATTCTACCATCTACTGCCTTCTCCGCCACCGCCACAACTTTGAGCCATTTTCCCGGATGATGAACTCACAATGGTAGCTGCAAACTATGAGTGCTTATTTATAGTGTTGTCTTGATTATAGAAGCTCATGTATATTTAATGTTAGCCTTGAAGATTGTATCAGTCATTTAAGATTTAAATTCATCTTTGTATTTACACATGTAAGTATACGAAGAGGCAAATAACCTTTTAAATTAAGATAGTTAATTAATGATTCAAAATTTCCAAAACATCAGGTTTTATTAAATTCCAAAAAAAAATTGTAAAATGTTTTTTGTAAGCCAAAATATTTGAGCGGAAAGTTTTGGCAAAATTGTGCATCCCAAGGTGTGTGGCTTTTTTATATAGTAAGATATATATATATATATATATATATATATATATATATATATATATATATATATATATAGAGAGAGAGAGAGAGAGTTAGGATCATATGAGAACATGTGCTTAGGTGAGAACGTGAGAAGTGAGAGCACATCATGTGCATCCATCTAATATTTTTTTAATGGTCTAGATTAGATTAAGTATGTGCGAACGCGCATTAAATGTGTGCAAACACACTAAATCGCGTTTGCACACATTTAATGCGCGTTCACACACACTTAATCTAATCTAGACCATTAAAAAATATTAAATGGATGCACATGATGTGTTCTCACGTTCTCACCTAAGCACATGTTCTCACTGGAACCCTACCTTATATATATATATATATATATATATATATATATATATATATATATATATATATATATATATATATATATATATATATATATATATATATATATATATATATATATATATATATATATATATATATATATATATATATATATATATATATATATATATATATATATATATATATATATATATAGTCAAGTATGGATTAACACATTATGTATTTGATTATTTATAGTTATTATTGTGATTAAAATTACAAAGCATTAACATATGTTTAAACTATCCAAATCATTTTAATACTTATTACCTTTTTAGATTAATTTTATTTAAATTTAAACTTTTAAAATTTGGCGGGGCCCCCGCCATGGCCCGCGGGCTTACGGCGGGGCGGGGCGGGCTAGATATTTTAGGCCCGTATTTTGGCGGGCTTTTTAGCCCGCCCCCGCCATATGGCGGGCTTCGGCGGGCCCCGTCCCGCCGGCCCGTTTCAACAGCTCTACTTGGGAGCCAATTCAAAGGAATTGGGAGCCGATTTCATAGCAATTGAAATTGGGAGCTAATTTCGAAACAAATTGAAATTGGGAGCTAGTCCGAAGCAATTGAAATTGGGAGCCAGTTTCAGAGAAATTGAAATCAATTGAAATTGGGAGCAAGTTTCACATGGGAATCAATTCAAGATGGGAGCCAATGTAGAATTGAAATTGGGAGCCAATTGAAGTTGTAGTGTGGGATGCAAATTCAAATTGGGGACCGATTCAAAGAAGACATGGAGATCAAATTGAATTGAGATGAAATGCAATACCAGAAGAAGTTTGGGAGCCAATTTCGAAGTCAAAGTCAATAATTCAAATTGGGAAGCAATTGAAAGCACCAGGAGAAGGATGCCAATTTCAGGACGCCTTCTTGCTGCCGGAAAAGCTGCTACGTCAGAGAAGGAAGCTCGCCACTGCTCCGCGTTGTCGCCGGTGAAGAGCTTCTTGCACCGGTCACCGCCACTGTCGCTGCTACTCTGCTGGCCGAGAGAGAGAGAGAGAACGGAAGAGAGACAGAGGCTCAAGGTGGTGGGTTGTCGGTGGAAGAGGGAGAGAAGAGACGGTGGTTCATGGTCTAATACATACCGCTATACTGCTTTCCAACTAATAATCACGGCTAAATGTGAATTAAAGATGTGGTTCCATATGTGAGTTTGAGCATCAAGAATTTCACTATCTTTCTCTGCAATATGTGGAAGGGATGATGCCATTTTTAGCTTCACTGGAGATTTTTTTTTTTTTTTATCATTCTTAAGAGTCAAAAATACACAAATAGAGAAACTTAATTTGTAGTTCACTGAACACAACAATAGTCATCTAGCACTTAACTTCCTTGAGACCATGGGCAAAGTACAAGAATGTTGGGTCTGTGGCACCATCCTTGTAGTAAGCAAACACAAGAGTGTTATCATCAGCAGGGACGGAGGCAGAGGGGGGGGCAGGGGGTCAGCTGCCCCCCCTAACCCCACCCCCACCCCCACCCCATATATAATATATATATGTATATATGTATATATAGTATATATTTTAGTATTAGTACAAAAAAAAAACTAGTAAATGTCAACAAGTAAGGAGTTAGATTAGTTGGTAGAAAGGTCTTGGGTTCGAAACTTTGCATTAACATATTTTGTCCTTCCCCTATGGCTTTAACACATTTACTTTTTTAATATCTAATACACACACATATATAACATTCTTTTATATTAATAGTGATATGTATAATTTATAATGTGTTTTCTATTCAAATTATTTTATTAAATTACAATTATATTTCTTAAGTAATGGTTATAAAAAAAAAAATCTTAGGTAATTTATTTATTTTTTTTAAACTATATCTTTTGTTTTAATGTTTCGCTTTTACTGGAAAAAATTTCTAAATCCGTCCTACTTCGCCCCCCTCAATCGAATTTCTGGCTCCTTCCCTAATCAGCAGCCATGCTCTCTCCCACAAAAAATTGCAGGTCACTAGGCTTTGAGAGCAGGAACTTAGTTGCTCCCTTAATGTTTTTCTTGAACACCTCTTGTTTCTCGGCATCCAGCTTAGGGGTCAACAGTTTGATGTATTTCTTAATGTATGCTACAAATTGCTTCTTATCAAAGGCAGGTTGCTCCTAGAGTCTGAAAGTGTCAACAATGTCGATGACCACCTTACCAGCTTGGTCATCAACTCCCTCATCCTCATAAGCACCTTCTGCAGATGGGTTTGCCCCAATATCTCTTCAACTGCTCCCTGGACCACCCACTTTCTCAACTTCCCACAGAACCCCGTCCTCAATTTCCTTGTTGCAAAATGAGTCAGAGAGAAGCTCATCACCAGTTAGTAAATCCTGATAGACCAGCATGGTTGATAGCTTGAGCTCTCTCGAGATGCTCCGAACTGAGATTGAAGAAGATAACTAGGAAAAGACCCCTTTACCTTTTAACTTAACGTCCATATAAATCTTAGTTAACGGAAGGACCAATGGTGGAACACTTTTGATAGTCAAGGGTTTATTTTGTCCAAATTAAAAGACGAGGACCAAATTTGGAAAATCACAATAGTCGTAGGACTATTGCTGGAATTAAATCATATGCAATCTATTGAGTAACAAAAATTTCATAGATACAGTGTTAAAGTAGAATAGAACTATAGAGCATTACGTAAAGTCAAAAGTTGAATATATTACTACATAAGAAACAAGGACAACCCCTTATTACGTCAATCATCGAAGAAATTGAAAAACAAAATGTGCTACAATCCACTAAGTGGTTTAGCAAATGATTAAACGTTATACACATTGAAACCAACAAGGTGATACATAGGGGTTGTACTCCATCCACTCTATATGTGCTTTAGGGCTGGATCGTATTGAATCCTTGAATAATAAGGTTCTCCAGTGTAGGGCATTTGGAGAAGACCGACTTTAGGAAAATGACTTCAATGTTGGAATAAGGACTACATGATGAAGCTATGGAGAGGAATAGAGAATGGAAAATGGAGAGTGTCTTATTGAGTGTTGAGTTTGATACAATATATAGGGAGAGAGAGACGGTTACAACAGAAAAAGAGAGGGAGAGAGGGAAAAGATATTTTCATCCTCCAACACCCCCCATAAGCTGGAGCATGTAGATCCTACATGCCCAGCTTAGATACAAAAGAACGAAATGGAGAATCAATAAAACTGCTGCTTAATCCACTTCTAGACTGCTTGTTTTTTCAGGTGAGCTAATAACAGGGTTGCTAATTCTTGGTGGAGATTCTATTAGATGGCTATGGCCCTCTCTGGAGACTACTGTCTCTGATATATTTGAATCAGAGATCTGTTGAAGAGACTCAAATGGATGCGCTACTTTCATCCAAGACCATTGAACCAATCCCGTTGCTTGTATCATGGTGATACGCATCAAAGGAAAGAAATAATTGGTGGTTTAATTAGTGGAGGATCTACAAGGAATGAATCATATGTAATTAGAGGATTATTGAGTATAAGGAAAGTATTTATATTAGAATATATCATTACCTTGTATAGTTAGTATAGTTTTGGTAGGTTAATTATTATAAGTATTAGTAAATTAGTATAAATAGGTTATTGTATATGAAGATGAGGAGGAGAGAAATATATTGTTATTCTAGTCTTTTATGTTAAAGAATTCTTCATTCTCTTTTGTTATATTATTTTTCTTTTGGAATTATCGTAACTCGAATACGGATTGGAGCCAGAAGCCTACTCGAAAGGTTTCTTCCGTTGCGTACTAAATTTCTGTGCGTAACATTGGTGCTTTCATTGAGAGTATTGGTGAGAGTATCTCCTATCCTTTTGTTATTTTATTTTATTTTTTGTTTTTATCTCATTTTTTATAGCACCCCTTTGAAAATTCAAAAAAAAAAAAAAAGTAGAGAATTATTTTTTATGAAAAATATTACTCACCGGTGCTTATTGGTTTCTGTACACCATGTATGGTATTCAATTGATGATTTTGTATTGTATGAGATCTTTTCTACAAAAGGATCTGTACAATATATTCATATCTTGAAGGATGAAAGTTACACCTTCCAAGCTTTGGTATGGTTTGATTATGTCTTAGATGCATTCATGGCCAAACAAGCTCTTCATGGCCAAAATATTTACGATAACTGTTGTGTCTTAGACATTAAATATCCTAATTTGGAGCTGTTGATGGCTGTGTGTGGAGAATTACAGACGGACCAAGATGATACTTTGGAATGCCATACTCCTAATTATTCTAATCCAATTTCTCAAGAAGAACCAAGTAATCCAGAGTCCAAAGAATCATCAATAGCAACAAATCTCCCAACCAGTCATGATGAAAGCAACATTCACAATTTCAACAACTTAGAGTCTCTTGAGGATTATCTTGAGACAAGACTTGTGAGTCCTACTACCTTAGACTTGGAACTCAACATTGGGGCGCAAGATATATTTTTAGACGGTACAAGCCAAAAGGGGAGCCCATTTATGTGTCACGATCAAGCTCAAGAACCATTTCAATCATTTGTTTTGCCAACTAGCCGCCATCCAAAGTTGCATGAACCGTTTCAACAAAGATGTGTTTATTCTATTCCTCTCTACACCTTGTCCTCTACACCTTGAGGACAAGGTGTTTTTTGAAGGGGTGGAGAGTGATACGCATCAAAGGAAAGAAATAATTGGTGGTTTAATTAGTGGAGGATCTACAAGGAATGAATCATATGTAATTAGAGGATTATTGAGTATAAGGAAATTATTTATATTAGAATATATCATTACCTTGTATAGTTAGTATAGTTTTGGTAGGTTAATTATTATAAGTATTAGTAAATTAGTATAAATAGGTTATTGTATATGAAGATGAGGAGGAGAGAAATATATTGTTATTCTAGTCTTTTATGTTAAAGAATTCTTCATTCTCTTTCGTTACATTATTTTTCTTTTGGAGTTACCATAACTCGAATACGGATTGGAGCCAGAAGCCTGCTCGAAAGGTTTCTTTCGTTGCGTACTAAATTTCTGTGCGTAACACATGGCCTTTGGGAATTTTACTGAGAACCTTTTCATTGAACACTGCATATTGCTTCTTGATCTCTGCCTCAGCCTCGAAGTCTCGAAGTCTAGCTAAGGCTGTATTGATTTCAATCCTAAGTGCAGAAGCCACACCAAGGACAATATCCCCAGGAACGTAGATTTAGAGCATACTTGTAGACGCGATTGACATCGCATACTTGTAGACGCGATTGAAATCGCATACTTGTAGACGCGATTGACATTGCATACTTGTAGACGCGATTGACATTGCATACTTGTAGACGCGATTGACATCGCATACTTGTAGACGCGATTGATAATAAACCATTTTCTCTTCTTCCTACTTTCACCTTCGACTTCTCTCTTCCTTTCCAGATCTTCTGGATTATAGTTTCTCTTCTGCGTGAACAAGTTCCACTGTGGAACGGCTATGGATGCCTTGAGCTCTGCCTCCAGCAATGCCTCTAGTCCTCTCTTCAGTGCAGAAACGGCGTCCTTGAGCTCTGCCTCCAGCAACGCCGCTTCCTCCTACGCAAGTCTGGCTCGCACCAGGTCCTTCAATTGAACTGTAGATCGACTCCAAATTGACGGACGAGCTCCTTCCTTCCGCTGCGGAACGGCTGTGAAGACCGCCTGAACTAGAGATTGAACGATCGGTAGCGATGGACAAACTCCTTGGATCGCATCGGCTACGGAAATCTGTTACTCCGAACTCAAATTCCTCTGCGAAATCGTTGACGGACGAGCTCATTCCTTCCGCTGCGGAATGGATGTGGAGACCACCTGAACTGGAGATTGAATGATCGATAGCGATGGACAGACTCCTTGGATCGCCTTCCGCTGCGGATCGGCTACGGAAATCTGTTGCTCCGAACTCAGATTCCACTGCGGAATCGTTGACGGACGAGCTCCTTCCTTCCGCTGCGGAATGGATGTGGAGACCACCTGAACTGGAGATTGAATGATCGGTAGTGATGGACAGACTCCTTGGATCGCCTTCCGCTGCGGATCGGCTACGGAAATCTGTTGCTCCGAACTCAGATTCCTCTGCGGAATCGTTGATGATGCGGATTGAATCTGGTGATCGAGCGTCGGCTTTGTTTCTACTTTGCGTAGCAATAATCCTCTGCGGATTGATCGGAATCCTCTGCGGATTAGGGACTGAGCAATCGACGTCTTCACATGAGCCTTTCTTAATTTGATTCGGTTCTCCGGCGCCGATGACAGCGGAGGCGTGGCTGCCTCGCCGCTCTTATACCATGTTGGAATACGGACTACATGATGAAGCTATGGAGAGGAAGAGAGAATGGACAATGCAGAGTGTCTTATTGAGTGTTGAGTTTGGTACAATATATAGGGAGAGAGAGACGGTTACAACAGAAAAAGAGAGGGAGAGAGGGAAAAGATATTTTCATCCTTCAACATTCAAGTGCAGATCTTCTACCTAAAACATTCGATCTTCACAGTTTTAAGCATCATCATTTCCTGATCAATAAAGCCATGGTCTGGATCCTCCAAAAGCCTTCTAGCAGCTTCTTTGTCATCCCGGCTCGTCTACAACTCAACACGAAATTAAAGACACAATGAGGAAATTCGAAAGAATCAATGAAAACAAAACAAAAAAAAAAAAAAAAATTAAGAAGCATGATTATATTGCCAAATATAAACTCAACCTGCCATTCTACACTAATATACAGTTCACATAGGTTGGGCAATTTCCGAAGCAATTGCATAGGAACCGTGAGCTTTTCCCACAACTAAATTGATTTGGTATGTATTTTAATTCGTTTAATTAACCACCTATTAAAATTTCATTTCTATTAATGCTAAAATTTTGTAGAAGGATACAGTCTGAATCTGTTAGGCAATATATTCCTCTTTTTAATATATATATATATATATATATATATATATATATATATATATATATATATAGAATAGAAATCATATAGGAACTCATTGTTAGGTAGGAACGTAAGAACTAATCTGATCCATTTATTTAAATCAATCTACGGTATATGTTTAATTATTTTTTAATTTTAGTTTTTACGTAGAATAGTGGTTTATTTGCGCGTTTAGGGGCATCTTGGTCAGTGCAATTGGGTTAGCGCGTGGAGTGAGATTTAATCGCAGATTTTTCGCTCTCTTTGTTTGGTTGGAGTTGTGCAGCGTAGGTCCGTAGGTCAGTACTCAGGACTCCTTAGCAACTTCGTCCTCGTTGATTGAGTTCCCGTTTGAGATCGCCGGAAGAGTTGGTCGGAACTTTAAGCGCCCACGACCGTAGACGACGTCGGCTGCCGCACCAGGTTTGTTTTCTCCTCTTTTTTTTTGGTTAAAATTCGTATTCTGCGACCCCAGGTTTGATATATGAGTTCTGGCATTGTTTGTTGTTAGTTTATTTTGGTGTTGTCTCTTTACCGGCGATGCTGCCATGTGTGTTCTTGTTGTGAGGTTTTGGTTTAGGGGTGGAGGTGGGTTTTTGGTTGGTGGTGTTGTCGGCTAATATGGTGGGTTTTGGGGTTTGGTTCGGTGGTGTCGCCGGTTTCTGGTTTTTTTTTTTCTTTTTCTTTTTTTTTTTTGTTTGTTTGTTGTTGTGTGTTCTAGTCTATATGCTGCAATGTAGCAAATTTGTATGAGTTAGACTATATTGTTGTGCAAATTCACAACACGTTCTGCCAAAGAGACATTGTATTGAAGAAGTATGTAGTAGAGCCCTATCATGAACATCCTGCAATTGTCTATGAGTTACGGCAAATGTACATAATCAAGTCAAAACCGGAAAAAACTTACTACTCTAGTACAAACCTGATGAAAATCATTTATACCAGCACCCAATGCAGCACCCAAAGCCATCTCGGTCTCTGGTGGTCTTCTCAAGAAACATTTCATTACTGCTGTTAGTAAATGTAAGCAAACTTGCATATTACATTGTGCTAATTACTGTAAACACCATTGCAATGCAATAACCCCCATGAATGTCTAGTCAAACAAGAGTATCTTAAAACATTTTAAGAATTGAAAATAAGTTACTTATGAGGCTGGGGTAAATGATGCTTATTACCAATGGAAGTATGCAACACATGAGATACAAAGTTCACAGAGGGAGAAGCTCAATAAAATAAAATAAAATAAAATATGTAAAAGAATAAGAAGCCAGTTCCATCAACAACATTTTGGCTCAGGAAAATGCCATTCAAATTTTAGAAAGATGCATGTAGTAGTTTGATTTCTTACGCGAAGTAGGAATGACGCCAAAGCAACTTTGTGAAGAAAGTAAATATATCGGTGTCCTACTAAAAGAAATTAAGTGTGCCTAGGAATGTGATTTCTTGACAATTCTAGCTGTGTGCAGTTGTGGCCATTGGTGTGTGCATTACGTGTGGTACAGGTTGGAATTTAGTGTATTAGATAGTATGGGCTTGGTATATGTAATTTTCATTTAGTTTTTATTTCGTAATGCAGTGTTTATCAGTCACATTTGGCGTATTAGTACGTTTATCATATTTTTATTAATTTGTGGTAGTATATTTAATTGCGATACTAATTTAAAAATGAGAAATATATCGCAAGTAGATCTTCCATTTTCTTAATAACTCTCTGATGGTGGGTTTCGTGTTGAGAATCGTATGTGTTTAAAGTTGCGGCCGGTTAAAGGAGTTGAAGTTGTTTTCATATAAACTAGTGGTGCAGTGGTGGTTGTATCTGTGCGACATTATAATGCTAATGGGTTCTGTAAGTGCACAGGTGTGGTCTTACGTGCGTGCATTCCAGTGTTTGATAAGTTATTCTTTGTTTTTTTCAGTGGGGCAACCTGAGGTTGACGGACCTGGGTTGGTGGATTGTGATGTTGATGCTTCGGAGTATGAGTTGACTCCTGATGAGGCTGCTCGTTTTGAGAGTTTGAACACGAGAGTTAGATTATGGTATTAAGGAGCTTATTTTTTGATTCTTTTGGGACATTTTTACTGAATAAAAGGGTGTTAGAATTTGCAATGTATGGTAGTTAAGATCTTGTATATTTAAATAGGTGCATAGCCTCCAATACCTATGTGCTCACACTGTGCTCGTGCACCCACGTTGCTAACTATGTGCTCACATAGGTACACCATGTTCTTGTTGGCACTTCCATCGCAGCGCAGGTGCACACAGGATCACTGGGTGTGGCACACTCTGTTTGTTACATGTGCACACTGTCCAGTACAATCTAAAGCAACTTCTAAGACAGTTTGGTTTTCGATGATACTTTACTCTAGTTTTTTATCTCAATCCTTATTATTGTGTTTCCATATGAAATAATCAACTTCCAGCTTCATTTCTAAGCGTTAGGTTCATGAGGCTGTAGGTTGCGGGGGAAAAAACCACGGGATAGAAGTGGCATACTCTGGTCTGTACAGGTGCATCCTGGCCTGTTTGGCACATACACTCGTGCACAGGTGCACCTATGGTCATCATGGCTACGGGTGTTAGGGGTTGAAAACTAGAACCAACAATACCACAACCCTATGATGAGGAAGTGTGCACTTACGGTTGGATAATGGGTGCACAATCATAGATACGCACGCCTGTCTGTGCACTTCAGCATCGTCGGGTGTGCCGTTTCGGCGAAAATGGCCTGAGTTCATATTTCCTGGCCCTTATGTTTACTCAGATGTGCACTGCAATGGGAGTCTAAGCATCTAATTGCTGTAAGCAATGCAATTAAGAATTGACTTACTTCAAGTAAATGATCTTATACTTGTAGCTTTTCAACAAACCATCTACATTTTGGCACCATCTACTTGTGGTCAATCATATCATCTATGGACATTTTGGCACCCATAATGCAGAATGACACACACTCATCCTTTACGTTATGGCACAGTCATTTTAACGCAAGTGCACATAGAATTGTTTAACACCATCCTAGTTTCCATGGATTCAATCTATTAGAATTTTTGCACATAATGACACACACAGATCAACCTAAGTGCACGCCAGTTCATGGTCACAATATATAATTCTTCACATTATGGCAAACTCAGTTTTATCCAAGTGCACAACCTCATCTTTAGCATCATCATGGTTTACGCGTATTCGATTTATCAGTATTTTTGCACATTATGGCACTCACAATTCAACCTAAGAGCTACATTCTATATACTATTTTTTCCAATCTAATTTAATTTTAATTTATTAATAAAGATAAAGAAAAGTAAATGATATAATAGTTGGTAAAGTATGAATAATAATAATAATAATAATAATAATAATAATAATAATAATAATAATAATAATAATAATAATAATAATAATAATAATAATACTAAAATTAAAATAATTTGAACCATTCATTTCAACGAATAATTACACTAATATTTTTTTAGTTAATGTTAGGGACCTAACTTTATTGGCTCTTATTATTAGGTTTGTAGATAGATGTAGATGTAGATGTAGATTATTCTTAAAATGTTCTATACTTTAAATATAAATTCCGTTTAAAAAAAACAAAACTCACTTGAATACTATCTTCATTTTTATGTTATTATTTCTTATTTTTATAAAAAAAAATAAAAATTTTCCAAATATTATGGCACACTCAATTTTTTCCAAGTGCACAATGTTATCTTTAACATCATCATGGTTTACGCGAATTTGATCTATCAGTATTTTTGCACATTATGGCACACACAGATCAACCTAAGAGGTACATTCTATTATTAGTATCAATCTGCCTTCCGCAGTTACATTCTATTAGTAATTTTGCATATTTAGGCGCGCACAATGCAATATGGCACACACAATGCAGTATGGCACACACTAATCCTCTACATTATGGCATAACCATTTTAACGCAAGTGCACACAGAAGTGTATAACATCATCCTAGTTTCCGTAGATTCAATCTATTAGAATTGTTGCACATAATGGCACACACAGATCAACCTAAGTGCACGCCAGTTCATGGTCACAATAATTCTACACATTATGGCACACTCAGTTTTACCCATATGTGCATAACGTCATCTTTAACATCATCATAGTTTACGCGGATTCAATCTATCAGTATTTTTGCACATTATGACACACACAATTCAACCTAAGAGGTGCACGTTGTGTTTGAATCAGGTCTGGCACACTATGTTCATTCTGGTGCACACTCTAGAGTGGGATCTCTTTTTCCATCAAGAAACTTTAGGAACAGCTGTGTATATACGAAGTCATGCTATCACGTTTATGTCTATGTGTAAACAATTTGGTAGACAATTATTCGAACACAAACAGGTTAATAAAGAGTTCAACCAAAAAAATGTAGTGTAGAGACTTCGGGAGAGGTATGGGCACACTCTGTTATGTACAGGTGCACAATGCGAAGGCACATAGGTAGCAGTGCACACAGGTCTGTCTGTGCACTTCAGGCTTGTCGTTGGTGCCTTCATGTCCAAATGGCCTGTATTCATCCGGTATGGCACATTCTGTTCAAATCGGGTGCACACGGCAGAGAACAATATCTTTTTCAGAAAAACAACTTCATCATCAGTTGTGTAAAAATGATTACATGCTATCACAACACATACTTCCATGTGATTTGCTCTTGCCTATCCGTTTTCTCCGAGGCGCGCCGGACATCAAACCTAGTAGTGGTGGCGTAAGTTTTGTAGAACTCAATTCCTTCTTCCAATGTAGTGAACACCTGTCCCACAAAAGGCTTTTTGGCTTGTTCACACTCGGGGGTCCAGTACTTCGTTGATCGGGGTGAGATATTCATCGAACACCCGGTAGACCCCTTGGTTATAACGGCTTCACCTGTTGATGAGTGCAAAAGTATTAGTTCAATATGCAGTAAACTTATGTGGCACACATAATATTACTCTCATGCACGCTCACTAGGTTTCAGCGTTGAGATTGGCACATTATTCGCACCACAGGTGCACAATCATCCATCCCGGCTGCGTAGTTTAGTGCTCCGCCCTTTAGAGTAGGTAGGTGCACTGACGTTGTGTTGGTTGTGCACATAATGGTACACGTGGGGTTGTATGTGCACTGCCCCATAAGGGTAGATGAACACAACCATACAAGCCCATGTCGGTGAGTGCCATTCAGTGCCTAAGTGGGTGCCATTTAGTATGATAAACCCAGATGCGAAATACCAGAAGATTACAGATTGAGCATGTGTTTAATTACAGTGCTACAGGATATAATGTGTCAAAGAGGGCATGCTTACACACACCACTACCAGACCCTATCAATTTTAATTGCACAGACATCTATGGTTTCGTATTCAGATTTAGAACTTACTGTCACGATCTTCGGTTGCCACCATTCTGTCCGGCGAAGATTACTTGAACCACGAACTTGGCTGCTTGGTGATGCACTCGTCCGGCGAGATTTCTCAGGTGAATGTCGGACAAGGGTGCTGTACGTTGTTGGCATTCGCTGAATTACAGAAAGAATAGAATCCTACTCATCTACTTATCCTATATTCTAGGGATAATCTCAAACGTAATTTTAATTATTAATTCTTAGATTATGAAAAATACCATACTATCCCTTGTAATTACGTATATGAATGGTTATCCTATTAATGCTTAATTAATATAAACCACTGATTAGATAGGATTCAAAGGTTTAGATTAGTTTTATGTTCCTACCTAACATGAGTTCTTACTTGAAGGCCTCCCTATATATATATATATATATATATATATATATATATATGTATGTATGTATGTATGTATGTATGTATGTATGTATGTATGTATGTATGTATGTATGTATGTATGTATGTATGCATACATACATACATATATTTCGTGCTCATTCTAGGTAAATATTTTAATTTTTGAATTTGAAACCCCTATGCTTTTTTTTCTTTTTTTCTTTTTTTCTTTTTTCTTTTTTTTTTTTGGTTTAAACTCAAATACTTTCAATTAAGGGGTTACTTCCCTACTTTCTATCAATTGAAAAGACTATCATTATTTGTTAATGAATGTAATACAATGAGTTTAACATTATGTAGAAGCTTTTATGTCTCTTTGTGCCTCCACAAAAGCATAAATAATTTACATCTAATGAGCGTCCTTCAAAGGTGTATGTAGTGGTGCACAACTCCTTTTTGGTATCCTTCAAAAGTACACACTCTTAGTGAGTGTTTTTTTTATCATACTTAGCTTCACATTAAAATGATTTAGTGAGTAGTAATTGGACTGTGTTTTGGTAGACTTTCACAATTTAGCTCTCTAAGGATTGTTGATGCACTTAAATCACACTAACTTATTGGCATCTAAAATAAGAGGACTAGTAACGGATGCACACTATACAATACTCTAAACTCAATTCTAGATGAAGTAATTTATTAAATAAATATTCAAGAAAGTTACAATTTCATTGAAATAGAAGCCATAGTGCATATCATCATATATACAAAAATCATATAAAGATTCCAAAATAATCTATTAACTTGATGGGTCTCATACAGATTTGAAGGCGGAATATAAATGCAACAATGATAGTCAATAATAATGTGTTAACTTGGGTGATTTCAAAAATTAGATTGGCATTTTATGATATAAAAAGCGTGGTGCCAAACAAACAATAATATGTTATTAAATAATAATTCTTCATATGTAAAGACAATAAATGTACATTAAATTGAGAAGACAATATGCTTCTTCTGTGAACGGGTTGAATCCCTAATCTTAAAGGCCCCCACACCCTAGGTCAACAAAGCATCCCTAGGCCGACAGAGCATGTGGACCGGATGAAGGTAAATCATAGTAACTCAGTGGCTTAGCAGACATAATCAAATGTCTAGAAGATAATATGTTGTTGAGCCGTTTGGAGGATTGGATCTTGTATGACACACATGTACAAACCATCTAAATTCTTCAAAACATTTCTTTTATATATATATATATATATATATATATATATATATATATATATATATATATATATATAGGCTTCGAATCTGGTGCAACCCCTATACTAGATGAGATCATGAGATCTCATGATATCCATTGATTCATTTTCCATAAATGGTTGAAATTATAAGAGATTGTGAAAGTAATTAAGGATATATTTAAATCAAAAGGATTAAATAGTAATTGTAGATATAGGTTTAATTATGGATATAATTCAATTGGAATCTTAAGCATTATATTAGGGAGATTATGAATGGAAATTGATATTTTAAATTATTAGGGACCATATCAATGGTAATAATTAATTATATTTTGTACATCTGTAATTTTAAATTATGGGAAATTTTACGGTGGTGTGTGTGTGGGTGTGGAATGGTGTGTGCGTTTTATAGTTTGCCATGGTGTACACCTCCTGCTACAGAAAACCGCACATATCATTTCACACCCGCGCACACACCATCGTAAAATTCACCACAATTTAAAAAAAAAAAAAAAAAAAAAAAAAAAAAAAAAAAAAAAAAAAAAAAAACTCAACAAGCCCAATACAATATCTAATACGCACTGATTATCTACTCGAAATTCAAACGCCGATACCCAAATTAGATTCGCATATTTTTGTTTTCTTTTGGATACGTTTCGCACACGCCCGGAACTAGTAACACACAAACCAAAACGCACATACCAAAACGCATAATTTTAGGAAAAAAAAAAAACCAGCACACCATGATGTACGAGCCCTGTTACAGTAAAACGCACACACCATTCCACACACCGCCGTAAAATTACGAGTCCTGTTACAGTAAAACGCACACACCATTCCACACCCACGCACACACCGCCGTAAAATTCCGAAGAAAATCATAAGAGAGAGAAATATTGATTAAGGAGAGCTGAAATAACGCTACAAATCTTTATAAATATGGAAATAAATGAAATGGAAAGTAATAAATATAGTGCTTAAGGACAAAAAGACTCATGCTTTATCTAAAATCAGTATAACATGGGATCCAAGTGGTAATCAATATAAATCGTCAAAAAATTAAAATCAACGATCAGGGAGTGTGCTCACGGACTCGGCTGACTAGCGGGTGTGCACCGGATTCAAAATCTATATATATATATATATAAAAGATTAAGACCTAACATACTTTTAATCAAATTGTTAAAACTTAGCTATTTGAGAGGGTTGCTAATATGGTTGACATATTATATTAGCTAGAATACAACAATAATACTTTTAAGACATGGACAAAAAATTAGAACTACAATGCATCACACAATCCACAAGTTGCATTATATTCCATGGGAACTAGTAGAGCTATCAAAATGGGCCAGCCCGGCCCATATGGGTTGGCCCGTCTCGGGTTCAACTAGAAACGGGACGGGACGGGCCAACCCGTTTTTCCACGGGTTGGGATTTTCCCAACCCAACCCGTGTAGGGCGGGCTGATGGGCCAACCCGTTTTTTTTTTCTTTAAATTTACGTGATTAAAATATTTATTGTCGTATTGCTTAGGAATTGAACTCATAACCTTTAAGTTAGTAACTAAAACTATTTCCAATCAACCACATTAACCATGGTTAACAAATATGTATATACACATATAAAATTAGATTTTAGTTTTTAATATGTAATTATAATTTATTTAATTTATATTTAATAATAATATATTTTACGTGTAATATTTTTTATTTGTAATTATAATATATACTATTAAGTTATAAAGTTTATAAAATATATATTTTATTACTTTATGTAGTTTATATAATAAATAAATTTTAAATTAATATTTATATAACGATACAATTAATTGTATTAATTAATATAGATATATATTTAGTAATGCTTGTGAATGATGTAAATAGATATATAATTATATTAAAATATTCAACATGTGTTCTTAGTGTAATTGGTTTCAATAGTAATAATTTGATAACTTAAGTAAAAGGTCAGGGGTTCAAGTCTTGTTAACAACAATGTTTTTAAATATTAATAAAATACCCAATTATACAACACATTTTTAAATATTAATAAAATACCCAATTATACAACACATTTGGAAGTGGGTGGGGATACGGGTTATACGGACCGGCCCGTGTAACCCACGGGCCAATCCGTATAACCCGTATCCCCACCCACGGGTTACACGGGACGGGCTGGAAATCCTCCAACCCAGTCCGTATAAAATACGGGTTAAACGGGTCCAACCCGACCGTTTTGATAGCTCTAGGAACTAGGGCCATCAAAATGGAATCACCGTTGCATTAAAGTCATATGAAACACTTGGCTAAACAGTAAGAACTCACATCACATGGAATCACCGTTGCATTAAAGTCATATGAAACACTTGGCTAAGCAGTAAGAACTCACATCACATTATCTGAAGTAAAATTTAGAACAATTAACTGAAGGAAAAACTAAAGAATGATATTCTTGGACTCTAATCAACACCTTAGGAAACAAGCTAAGGTACCATCCTCATCTTACAAAACATTATTGCAACTTCCACCGCAACCGTTGCTTACAATTCTAAGTTGAATACGAACTGAACCCATGGAGTTTCACAATACAATAATTTGTGCTTTCGGAGATGCACGAGGGAAGCACAACAACTCCCTTTGGAATTTTATCACCTTATTGTATTGCGGATCAACAAAATAATATTCCTGAATAACAACACTCTCTAGTTTAGGGGATTTTGAGAGCAACATTTTCACAAAAAACAATTCGACTGTGGATCCACAAAATCGATTAATCTTGATTGTTTTAAGCATTTTTAAATCTTGATTAACAATACAATTGTCTGGATCCTCCTTCAAAAGTCGTAAAACAACTTCTATGTCATCATCTTCTATGTCATCTTCATCTTCTATGTCATCTTCAGGGCCCGTCTACAACACAACAACAAATAAAAAATAAATAAATAAAAAAACATGAACAACCATGAGGATGTTAAGAAAACAAAAATCATGATTGCCAAATGTATACTATATATAGGTTTCTGTCTTACAATACTTACTGTTTTAATATCTAGTTCACATAGGTTTGGAGATATTTGAAGCAACTTCAAAACACCCATGAGCTGTTTTTCATTGGCAAACTTTATAGCATCCAGTTTGATTACTTGCAGATTTATTGCGGTTGGGAAGGACGCTATTTCAACATCTTCCCACTTATTTAAAAACAAAAAAAAAAAAAACAAAAAACAAAAAATAGAATATAAGTTTTGAAAGAACTCTATCAAACCAGAAGGCAAGAATATTTAATCTGTCAATACTAGATATAGTCCATATATGAAGGAAGAGAGATTCTCACCAATATGCAGTTATGATCCAAGCAAAGAACCTTAATTGTTTCCAAATGAAGTGCAAGCCATCTGGATTCAGCTTCAGGTCTAAAACCAAAAATAGACAAGTTTTCAAGTTTTGGAGCTCTGAACTTAAAATTACTGATCCCGTCACAACGAATGAATTTCAGCTTCTCAAGATTAGGAATGCTAGACCCAATTCCATTAACATTATGATTAAAAACAATATCATAGAAAATTAATGAAGTGACACCGGGAAGAATAGAAGGAGCATTTATAATTGGGCAATCAAAACCCAAACCTTTGAGTGTCAGCTGCTTGATTGTGGGGCACGAGACTATACAAAATGGCAGCTTATATTGAGGGTCACAAAGAGATATGTCAAGTTCCTCAATGCCATTTCTTGACAGATAAAGCCACCACTGATCCAAATCCGACTCCAACAACATATGATCAACTGTGGCACTATGGTCTAGGCTAAATTTCTTAATGGGTCGAGCATGCTGCAAGAGAATGTAAGTTATTATTTTACAAGGAACGAATCTTTCACCACTACATTGTAGGATATCCCAGAAGAAGTCATCATCGAAAGTAAACCGCCCAAGTCGCAACCAAACATGATTCCAGTGTGTTGAGAGCAGAGCAGTTCTGGCAGCATCTCGGGTGGGCAAACACTCCAAAATTCTCAGCTTTAACTCTAAGGGCAGCTCACTTATTAAATCTCTACGTGCATGATCCGCTACCATTTCGAGTCGCAGACGTTGAGCCATTAAATTGAAAGAACAATGAGGTGTCAGTCGAAATCAAAAGCTAAAATCTTTCTATTCTTCAACAAGATTTTGTATTTCGCAAATAAAATGAAATTTGGAAGAGTTGGGAAGAAATCAGAGATTGGGGGAAAAGTGACTGAAACCATCTGCATCCGCTTCGGATTTTCTTCGACAACAAGTCGCCATTAAACTGGAAACAGAAGTTCAAATCGCTAGATTTCCATTCCAATTCAGCCCACAAGGTTTTGGAAACAAAAGAAATTTGGAAAAAAAAGAGAGATTAGGGAAAGTATCAGTAACCCTTGCCTGTTGTACCGTCTGGAAGAATATTGGGAAACTTGGCAAATTATATCGTGCACCAAGGCGCACAATCTCTGACCCAAAATTACGTCATTTTGTATTTTTTTTTTAGAAATTTCGTTTATCGTGTCTGATGTTAACTTCTTAAAAAAAAAAAAAATTCTCATGTTTTAAATGTACATAATTGTGTAATAAAATATACATAATTGTATAACAGAATACACATACACTTTTTTGAAAGGATAATACACATAATCTAACATAATACATAATGCACATAAACTCCTAACATGATACACATAAACTCTTAACTCTTAAAAAAAAACATTCCATGTTTTGAATTAACATAATTGTATAATAGAATGTACATAATTGTATAACATAATACACATACACTCCGTCGCGTCAACTCCTCACACAACTTAACAAAACGACGTCGTTTTGGGAGGGCGGGACGCACAATGTATTGTACGCCCTGGTGCACAATATAACGATTGGGGAAACTTCAGTCGTTATATCGTGGACCGCGGTGCATGTGCACCGTGGTCAAAACGGCTAAAGAAACGGCGCGCCGTCAGTTTTAACGGAGCGTGCATTTTGTATATGTTAATTACCAACTGACACTATAGTATATCTAAACCGACACTGCCTCACGTATTATTTTTATATTATCAAATTAAACTGCAGTTTTATCAAAATGATACTGTAGTTGTGGTGAAATGAAACTGCAGTGTATATAAAATGAAACTGAATAACATTTCACATATTTGAGTGTATATTGTACAATGAAGCTGTAATTATATCAAAATGATCATGTAGTTGTGTTTTAATAAAACTATAATGTATATAAAATCAAATTAAATAACATTTTCACATATTTGAGTCTATAAATATCGAATGAAACTGTAGTTATATCAAAATGAAACTGTAGTTGTGTTGAACTAAAACTGCAGTGTATACAAAATGAAACTGAATAACAGAGTTACTTTTTTGCGGAAGGGTGCGGAACGACGGGAAACAGATACCATTTCTTTTCATTAAACAAAACGACGTCGTTTTGATGTGCGGTGCATAATCGATTATACACCGCGGTGCACGATATAATTAGTTTGTGCCTTTGGCGGCAACAGAGACAAATTATTGTGTGGACCATGGTCCACATTATTAATATACTAAATATATATTATTTATGTATTAAATGTATATTATATAAAATAATTTACTTTTCCTAAATATAATATATATTATTATAATACCAAAAATACATTATTTTTGCACTAAATGTACATTATTTTATAATATACAAAATGTGGTCCACACAGCTTGTGTAGGCCATGGTCCACAGAATAATGATTGGCCAACAGAGGGTTAATATTGTTGACTTGTTGTTGGCCCACTAATTGGCCCAATATTATTTATGTCGCAAATTATATCTTGGACCATAATCCACATTGTAGGGTGACAATCATTATTCCATGGACCATGGTCCACATATTTGTGTGAACCATAAATAAAAAGTACATTTTTAATATATTTAAAATACATTATTTGTATGCATAAAATACATTATTTGAAAAAAAAATTGATTTTTTATATATTATCAAATAGTGTGCATTTTGTACACAAATAATGTACTTTTAGTATATTAAAAATGTATATTACATTCATGGTTCATACAACTATGTGGACCATAGTCCACACAATAATATGCTGAATCCTTATCCAAAATGACATCATTTAATATTAAGTTATTAATGGCATCAATTAGTGTATCATATTATCATGTTTAATATTTGTTCATAACATTTGTTCTAAGGCTCTGTTTGGCAAACCTACCTGAAAAGTTATAAACTAGGAGTTGAAAGCTGAAAAGCTATAAGCTCGGAGCTGAAAACTGAAGAGCTGTTAAGCTAGCTGTTATGATTGAAAGTGTTTGGTAAAATTAGATTTTTGATAAACTGATAAATGTAAAAAGACTAAAAATGGCATCTTCATAAAATTTAAATTAGTTTGTTTACATATTAAAATTTAACATTTTGTTTTTAAAAAATTAACATTTTGAAATAAAACTATTATCGTAATCATGATTATCTAACATCTCATAATGAAATAGCAATATTGTTGCAAATCTCATAATAATAATAATAATAATAATAATAATAATAATAATAATAATAATAATAATAATAATAATAATAATAATAATAATAATATTTGCGGTGAAAGTTGCGGATAAAGGAGAAGAGAAAATGATTTTAATTGGGAAAGGTAAATTATGTCATTTCTTTAAAATAATAAGGATAAAGATGGAAAAAAAAGTTAAGAAGCTAGGAGCTTATTTTGAGAACATTACCAAACAGGGCTTATAGCTTATTAGTAGATTAAAATAAGCTATAAGCTCCAAAATACGCTCTGCCAAACAAAGCCTAAATGTTCATAAACTTGGCTTAGTTTACATAAATACTAAATTGCATATTGAAAATTATGTAAATCCATTTAAGGATTATGTTTTAGTTTTAATTTATTTGCTTTTTAATTTGTATATATTAAAGTTATGGAATAAGGGTTAAATTAACCACTGAACGAAACCTAAAAGTGCAATTAGACCACTGTACTAAAAAAGATTGCAATTACACCATTCAACAAGTCAAATGTGTGCAATTTTACCGACTAGCAGGTAAACGCCCTATCCTTCCGGTTACCTGGTGACATGGACGTTGAGTTGGCAATTATTTCCCTTTTCTTTCTTATTTCTTCCATTGAAATTTCTACTCTCTCTCTTCTTATCACAACCCAATTGACCTTCACGACGGTTTTAGCTCTCTTTATCAATGCACAGAGGTTCATGCCTTATGACCTTCACCGCAGTGATGTCGACCTTCAACTCCGTCGTGTTTCTCACATTTTCCCTTTTCCTTCTGGTGTTCGACAACGATAGTGGCAGATCCCTGGCGACATCTGTCAACTCCGCCGCCGCCAACGTTCGTTTCATGTTAGGGGCTCTGTTCACAGTTCACGGTCGATACCACGGCTTCTTTTGCGTTACTGTCCTCGTTAAAGGAACTCGCGTTCGAGAAGGTGATTATTAGGGCTGATGTGGAATCGTATGAAGCCATGACGGAGGCGTTGAAGAGTTTGAGCGCGGCGGTCTGTGCTTGGTTTTCAGCATATGTTGATGCATGCTTGGTTTTCACAGAGAATACATCTTCTGTTGGGAGAAAATGATCAAATTTTCAAGGTAGAGCTAGCTAAAGACATGAAAGAGTAAGTTTTTTGTACAATATCTGACACTCAAATAACACTATATATAATGAACTAGTGACCTATAATTCCCATTTGAATGGACTCATGAACAAAACAAGGGAATAGGTCAAACTCTAACCAATCAAAAGATTGCCTATATATAGCATTTCATTGCTAAGTAGACACGCACAAGAACATTGAGATTATATAAGCAGTAATAAGCTTAACGTGTGTATATATATATATATATATATATATATATATATATATATATATATATATATATATAGATTTACATTCAGGTAAAAACACATCTTAAAATACAAACCTGTGGACAAGATGGGGTCGTTGGATGGTGAGATTGGATGGTTCTAATTTATTGCGCTATCTGTTTTGTTTTCACGGTAAGCATTTTAAGTTTTTATGTTTAGGGGGTTATTTTTGGTATTTTGCTAACGGGTATAACCTAGTCAAATTAGTCTTATTTCCAGGTTTCACGGGCACGATTCTTTTGTTCTCGTCTGTCCGAGTATCGAAGGCTCTCCTTGCGTTGTAGGCTTCCTCGCTTCGCGCCGTTTTCGTCGATTCTTCCTTCTATTTTCACTTCCACGTAGTGATGGTAATCAGTGGGGGCCGTGGCTTATCAAAGAGGCGGTGACCACCGGAGAAAGATGTCGGGCGAGGTACATGTTGACTTCTTCTTCCGCGTTTTTTTTTGGTGGGTTCTTGTGTTTTGTGCGGTTTTTGTCTTCTTTGTTGGGGGTTTGTTTGTTTGTAGGCATCTCATGCGTTTTGGGGGTTGTGGAGTGCGGTGGTTGCCGGTTTTGCTCGGAATTTGGAGCTAGGGTTTTGTATTTGGGAATTTTTTGCATGGATTAGATGATTTAATTTCCATATGTTTTTTATTGTGATGATTTAGATAATGTTAGTTTGATTATTTTCTGCCTATTTTTTATGCCTAGTTAATGCTTCATTGTTTCAAAGTTTAGAGTTCAATCTTTTGTTTGTTTTTAGTAAGTTCTTAAATTTTTGCTCTTTCTGTAATCTGTTCATGAATTCAAATTTTTAAGACTTAAATCTTTTATCTCTATTCTGATGTTTTTTTTTTTTTTTTTTAATTTGTATTCGGCTGTGGGGATGGGGGCTTAGAGGTTTGTTCTTTTTTTTTTTTTTTTTTTTTTTTTTTTTTTTTTTTTTTTTTTTTTTTTTTAAATTGTATTCGGTCGCGGGTATGGTGGCTTGGAGGGTTGCCGAAGCTGTTGAGTTGGGGTGTTTTTTCCTCTTTTATCTCTCTCTTATGTGTATCCTTAAAAATGGTGTAAAAATACAGTGGAGAAATACGGTGGAGAAATATGTTCTTATTTCTCCATTGTATTAGTGTTTGCTGTCGTTTTTAATTTTGTTTAAGAGTTATAAAATGAAGAAGGTGAGAGGATGAGTTGTTGTTTTTGGGCTCATGACTGTCTGCCATTAATCTGTTTTTTTTTTTCTTTTTATTTCTTACTCTGCCATGTGGGTTGGAGGCTGGGGGGTTTGATTGTGTTGCTGATTTGGATTGTTTTTTGCAATGCTATAGTTTTATGTCTCTTTTCAATTACATAATCATTTTATGACTTTTTTTTTGTGGTATCTCAAACCGCTTATGGTTTCTGTGTTACGTATTTGTATTGTTTATCCCAGTTGTGTGGTTGCCATTTATGCTGTTTAGTATCTCGTTTTTGCATTCTGTTTCACTTGGAGGCTTAGGTGTGTGTGGGGTGATTCACTTTTATTTTATTTGTAGTTCAGAAGTTTATTTAGAAAGGAGTGAGATATATATTTATATTTGTCAGAATATTGGTTGTTTGACTCTGTTGTGTGTCTTATTGTATGAGTTCAGAAATCAAACAATATAATAATGGCTGGTTTTGTCCTTTTTCTTTGACCGGATTTTCATGGGGGGTGGTGGAATGGGGTAGTGGCCGGATTTTGGCTGGATTTTCATGCTTGGGTTTTCTGTTTGAGGTTTTATGTTTTATGGTGGATTGGATGAATTAGTTGCTATGGGTTTGTAAATCTGATTCTTAAATGGTGTAAGTTTTTTTTTTCCTTGTTGTTTATGATGCTAGAGAACGGTCTACATGCGTCCAAATTTTAGAGTCTGTTTTTGTTGTTTCTTTTTATTCAGTTTGTAAATGTGTGCTCTTTTATTCATTATTTATTTGCTATTTTCGTTTGCAGTTGTAGAATACAGATTAAGCAGAATGTGTTCTCTGCTGTTACATTTGGGTTATTATTATATGGCGTAGGTTGTGTGCATGCCTTTCTGTGTAGTTGTGCTCGTCTGGTTAGATGCCCTATTTGATATTTTTTTCTTTCTCCTTTGTGTGTTTTTTTGGCAGGGAGTGTTTAAAAGGGAATGTGGTTACTAAGACCACGGTGTCGGGTGGCCCGGTTTGTGCGCCCCCGGTTAAAGCGGTGCGTCCCGTTAAGCCTTCTGGAGTTTCTATCCCCGTTGTTGCTGCTCGGCTTCATTATCAACCGTCCGGCACTTGTGAATCAGTTGTGTTTCCCATGCCTGACCTTCTGGAGGATGCTTTGATAGTTAACTGGTTGTTGGGGGGAAACATGTTAGTATAGTGGTTTTCTTTGTTATCGTGGGTTGCATTCTGTATTTAGTTACGTCTGTTTTGGGTTTTTGCTATTGTGTGCACACGTATATTGCAAACTATGCTCACTATAGTTTTTGGTCATACTACCTTTGTGCATACAGATACGTTTGTTTGTGCACAATCTTCTTGTGCACATTTTACTTGTTGATGCTACTGTAACGTCACACAAGCAGTGTTTAATTAATGCTAACGTTATTTTTGGGTTGGATGGTAATAGTTATAGTGTGCGCGCGTATATCGGTTTAATTGGCACATTATTATTTTTCTGTGTGCACGGTATTTGTCGTTAGTTTTTTATCATCATTTGTTTTTACGTTATGTTTAATTAGCACATTCATATTCTTCTGTGTGCACGTGTTTATTCTAAGTGTTTGCTTGTAGTCAAGGGTAATAGATTTAGTTTTAGAACGTTACGTTGTGTATTACCCTACACCCTGTGTGCGAATATATAGTTTTCTGCGTGCGAGGAGGTTTGATATTACTTATTTTCCCGGTTTCCATACAGACGTTAATGTTCATTGTTGTGGGTTTAGTTTCGCGCATGTGTGCACTGCTTTGTACTCATTGTGTGCGCTGGTGGTGAACTTGGTGTTTGTCCTCCGAGTTGTGTGCACATACATATTTCCGTGTGTGCATTGGTTACTTGCTGTAGATTTTTTTAAATTCCAAGTTCTAAGGAATAATAAGTCTGATAAATATAACTATTCAAATAGTGTCATAAAACCAAACTAATAGCATTATTGTACTGTTTATAGAAAGATCTTATTCTATTTTGAGTCGCTTATGCCTTTGTTTGGACATGTACGGTTGTTGTGGCCTGGGGTTGCATGTCCTTTGTAATAGATTTAGTAGTGCACACATATCTGGTACGTATAACTCAGGCGTGTATAATTAACAGCAGACTAGGTGACTGGTCAATCTGTGCACACTTATAACGTAAAGGTTGCACACGCGTTACCGCAGTATGTTATCTGTTGTGCACACGGTAATATACACTTGTGCACACACGTTGTATCTTAATTGTGCAAATACCAATTTTGGTCCCACGAGTATAAGCAAAATGATAGTTTTAGTCGACATGTTTAATTCCTATCAATTTTCATCCACGACTATTGTTTTAGTACCAAAATTCATCACGCCGGTTACTTATTCTTTTAAGACATGACGAAATCAAAAAATTTTAAGGGTATTTTCATCCTTTTCAACTTAAGATCCCAAATAGAACATGAATAATGAGATTTAAGCCCTAAGATCGATATCAATTCGTAGTTCTCCCATTCATCCAACCTTAATTTGATGAAGAAAACTGTGAATTGGGATCAATTTGAAGGCTTAAATTCTTTTATTCATGCTCAAATTGAGATCTTAATTTGAAAATGAAGAAAATGCCCTTAATAATTTCATATTTCGGCATATCTGAAACGGATGGGTGACCAGTGTGATGAATTTTGGCACTAAAACAATAATCGTGGATGAAAATTGGTACTGAACAATAGGCGTATGTAGATGAAAATTGGTAGAAATTAAACTTGTGGACTAAAACTGTCATTTTGCTAATACTCGTGGGATCAAAATTGATATTTTCATGTTCAACTCTGTGTGCATAATGTTAACTATAGTGAAGCACGAATTACTGTGTATTACATGGGGGAATTCGCACGGATGCGGGATGCGTGTATTGCTATGTTGAATCCTACTATAATTGGGTTGCATTCACATGACTCCTACTATAATTGTTCTCCTTTAATTTAGGTTATAAATCATAAACATATATTTACCGTAATTAGGATATTGTTTGAATGTCTTATATGCCCTTACAATCATTAATCACGATCCTGGCTTCCTATTCACTCCTTAAATCTAATCCATTAATCTAATCTAATCTAATAGCTCATATTTGTTCACAAGTTTGTATTTTAAGGAGGTTTGATGTGAATGCAACCCTATATATATATATATATATATATATATATATATATATATATAAAAGCAAGACAACCTTTAAAGGCATAAGATAAGGAAGGCAGACCACCTGGTTCACCTGGAGCAACCTTGCTTCTACAACAAGTGTCTCAAGAAGTCCCTTGTTTCCCTCCAACTAGATAAAGCCCAAAAGTGATGACAAGTTTCAGTTCCATCCTAAATATCAAAACGTATGATTTTTATTTTTTTTTAGCAGACTGTGCTGGTCACGACAACGTGGCTGTTCTGGAGCGGGGAGTGGAAGAGTTTGAGCGCAGAAATGGAGGGGTATAAGCAAGGGGTGGTTTCCTACTTTGTGAACGTGGTTGGAATGGCTGTTACGTGTCAGGCGTACTACGTTGGCTCCATTGTCTTGACTTTTAAAGTTTCGTCGTTTTTATTCAACGTTGTTATTTGGTCGTCGTTTTTATGGAACGTTGTTATCAGGTTAGCCACTCCGGTGATTCCATTTTTGTCTGTGGTTTTCTTGCAGCTCCGCTCAGGGAACCGGCGACAACCGTGGTGTTCTTCTATGGCTGATAGAACAGATTTAGCAGAGAAATGTTTCCAATGCTTTGGTCCTGATACATGCCACAGCGTGACCGGCATGGCGGCTTCGTAGTAAATCCCGATGGCTTGGTTTGATAAGAGGAGTAATAGAGGTTGTGAAAGTTGATTGACTCGGTGGTGTGGCAGTAAGATTATGGAGGAGAAGAGAGGTGGTAGACACTAAGACTCTAAGAGGCGCTGTGGGATCATATCTGATAAACTTTTTTAGAAGTTTCAATGGGAAAGACAGGCTTTTAGGAAGAAATGGGAAAGAAAAAGAAAATAATTGCCAGCTCAGCGTACAAGTCACCAGGTAACCGGAAGGAGAGGGAGCTTACCTGCTAGCTGGTGAAATTGCACCCATTTGACTTGTTGAAGGGTGTAATTGCAATCTTTTTTAGTACAGTGGCCTAATTGCACTTTCAGGTTTCGTTCAGTGGCTAATTTGACTCTTAATCCTAAAGTTATTATCTAGATTATGTCGGAATGATATAGAATCCGCGAACGTACTTCTGATATTATTGATAAGCCCGCATGGACAGTTCAACTAGTTATAGAGGTAAAAGTTGAAAAGAAGGATATTATTGATAATATCTTGGAATATAATTTTTACCAAGAAGTTGTTGGAATTGTTGCATTGTCCACGGGTGGAGAGATATTTGATGGCAATTTATATCGTGCACCACGACGTACATAGTAATGTGCGCACATGCACAAAACGTCGTTGTTTCAATTGCTATTGACGGGGATTGACGTAACGGGCGCCACTCTGTCCGTTCAAACGGATCAAACCCCATTATATGTATTCAGTTAAAAGTTTTTGTGTATTGCATGCGTTATGAGTTTGTGTATTCAGTTAAGAGTTTATGTGTATTATGTTAAAAGTTTATGTGTATTTTGTTAAGAGTTTATGTGTATTATGTTAAGAGTTTGTGTATTATGTTATGAGTTTATGTCTATTCTGTTAAGAGTTTATGTGTATTATGTTATGAGTTTATGTCTATTATGTTAAGAGTTTATGTGTATTATGTTATGAGTTTATGTCTATTATGTTAAGAGTTTATGTGTATTATGTTAAGAGTTTATGTGTATTATGTATTATGTTAGATTATGTATATTCTGTTATGAGTTTATGTGCATTTTTAACAGTTTTTTTTTTTGAACAATGCATCAAAACGACATCGTTTTGGGAGGCGCAGGACGCACATTGTTATGTGCACCGTGGTGCACGATATAACGATTGATATTTGATCAAGTCTTACACGATTCAACGTTGAAAATTTTTTATTTGACTACACTTACGATTATAATTTATAACTATGTTGGTAATTATGTTTTGTCATTTGCTGGGTTTTATGTAATTAACAAAATTATCCTGTAGCACAATGGACTTAATGAGACACGTCCAACGACTGTGGAAGATAGTAGTCCATCATATGATACTGATAACTTGTAATATTCAGTCACACAAAAAGAAGTTGATGAAATGCATTCTATTACATGCTTCTGCCTTGCATATTCTCTTGCCTTACATTGAAGAGATTACATCTTTATCGAGTATGTGTTGATTTAACTCAAATTTTTAATTGTTGCATATTTTGAATGCAACTTCACTTCTTTGTTTTGAATATGTTGATTGGAAAATGTTATGTGTACTCCCATTTTTTACTCACACACACAAAATCTTGATATAAACATTCGTATTGCGATCCACATGGAAAAAATAGCTTATCAAAACCCGCCACATCAATGTAAAAAATTGAGAAAATAAGATTTGGGAGTACATAGAATAGAACTTATATATGTTGATTTTGATCTGTAAGTGTTGTGGAATTTGTTGTTGATGCCTCTCATTCATATAAACTAATTTACTTAAAGTAAGAAAAGGCAGCATAATTAAAGTAATTTATTAACAAACCGGATTAAGCCCCTTCTAAACCAGGTTGATTCCGAACTTCAAACTGTCTTTGTCCCCGGGAGATTGATAACAGATAATATTATGCTAGCTTATGAAGTCAAATCATTATCTAAATAGGAAACGTCGAGGTAAAATTGTTTTAAAAAATTAGGGATGATTCTTCTATCAATAATGAGCTCCCTTTTAACCAAGGACCTTGTAGTCCAATGGTACCACATTACCACGGATCTTTTAACAACAAGAAGGATGCAGGTACCTACTCTTTGCCAACTTTGTAATGGTGATGATGAGTCCACATATCATTTGTTTGTTAGATGCCCACTGGCTAGAAGCTATTGATTAGGATAATATAGATATATAGGGGGTATCAAAAATCTATCTGACAGTGAGGCTTGCATCTTGATTAATCTCAGTCTGCTGGAAACTATGGGACGCAAGGAATGAAAAAAAGATTGGAATCCCATTGTACTCTCTGCGCAAAATATTACTACTGGAGCACAGGTTTTTCTTCATCAATGGCAACAAGTTAATTGTCTTCCCTCTAGAGATAACACTAGCTTAGAGAAATAGCTAGAGACTTTTGTAATTTCCGCTTTTTGTTTGTTAAACTGTCCGCGAATAGGGTCGCCCACTTGCTAGCTCGGGAGACCTTATCTAAGCCTGATTGTTTGGACTGTTTCTTGGTCCCTTTTTCCTCTATTGCTCTGTACTAGAGCTTGACTCTCTTTAATCTAATATAATATTTCGTTTCTTCAAAAAAAAACAAACAAAAGCAAATAGAGGGACATTGTTGGAGTTTGTGCTTGCTGATTACAAATACCTTATGCTGAACAACTTAGTAAACATTTCAACATCAAACATTGCTTAGATTTCTAACTTGCACCAGAATAGAACTCATGGAGATTCACAATACTAAGTTTATGAAAGGCTAAAACCATGGGTATCCAACCAGTCCTCACGCATAGTCTCATAGTTATTGCCCGTGGAGACAATTTGTGCGTTTGGAGATGCACGAGGGAAGCATTCCAACTTCCTTAGAACTTTGCTCACCTCGGAGGCATTCATATCCCAAGACTTCATGATAACAACTTTCTCTAGGCTAGGGGATTTTGAGAGCAATATCTTCATAAAAAGCATTTTGAGTGCGGACTCACTGAATGATTCAATCTTGATTGTGTTAAGCATCTTCAGCTCCTGAATACTAAAGCAACCTTTTGGATCCTCCAAAAGTCTTGACGCAGCTTCTTTGTCATCCCTCCTACCTGACTATAACTCGAGAAGAAATGAAAGACACAACTGTGAGGACATTTGAAAAAGCAAAACAAGATGAATAATGTGTGATTGCAATATATATATATATATATATATATATATATATATATATATATATATATATATATATATATATATATATATATACTCAACCTCATTTGCCATAATTCCCAGTTCACATAGGTTGGGACATTTTTGAACCAATTGCATAGCAACCGCGAGCTGCTTCCCAAAACCAAAACTTAATTCATATAGCTTCATCACTTGCAGATTTATTGCAGTTGAAAACATAGATACATCCATACACTTGAGAAATAGCAATAAAGAAACAAAATTAGCCACCACAATAACTTTTAACAACCCAGAAGCTAAGGTAAAGAATTATATGTATCCATATATCCATTTGCATAAAGTAGAATGAGTTAGATTCTCACCCGCAACGAAAAGCCACACAACCAAAGAGTCTTAATAGCTTTCAAATGTGGTGCCAGCCATCTGGACTCAACCACATCTTTAATGGAATCAATAACAGACAAGATTTCAAGCTTTGGAGGGCTGATCTCAAATTTATTGATCCCATCACAAAGTTCCAAGGCCAGCTTCTCAAGTTTTGGAATACTAATACTAGAGGCAATTCCATGAACACTGCGCTTAAATTTAACAGCGAAGAAAGCTAAAGAAGTGACATTGGAAAATATACCAACAGCATTTACAGGCAAATAAATAAAGAGAGAGCGGACTATCAGTTGCTTAATTGTCCTGCAAGAGAGTAAACAAAATGGCAGCTTATATTCCTCCACATAACTCGCTAAAGATATGTAAAGTTCCTCCACACCATTTCTTGACAGAAAAAGACACCACTTATCGAAATCACACTGCTGCGGCTTAGGATCAATTGATGTCCTTATCTGTAGAGTAAATTTCTTAACAGGCCCAGCACGGAAAAAGAGGATATTATTGATTATGTTCACGAGGGTTCTACCGTCATCATCTTGGCACCGTTTCTGTTGGACACTTTGCAGGAATTTCAGATCGAATGCAAGCCGGCCATGCTGCAACCAAACATCATTCCAGTGCGTTGAGAGTAGAGCAGTTTTGGCAGCGTCTCGGGTGGGCAAACATTCCAAAATTCTGTCCTTTATCTCTACCGGCAGCTCACTTATTAAATCCCTTTTAGGCTTTATAGCATTCAGTGATGAGGTTTTGAATCGCCGAGGACGAACCATTAAATTCGAGAAAAAATTGGCGATTCTGCTCTACTTTTTTCGGGGTCAGCAAGTCGAAATCAAAAGCTAAAATCCCCTTCCATTCTTCTGCTGCAAAATTTCGTAAAGAAAGGGAAATTTGGGAAGACAAAAGAGATTGGGGGAGCTGAGAAGGGACAGAAACCCACACCTTTGTAGCGTACTCTGATGTTTGGTTTAATAGTTGTATTTATATTTATATATCTAAACTAGTATCCGTGTTGGACTTCCATTCGAAAGGTTGTGAGTTCGAGTCTTAGTGGAGGTGTTATTAGTTCTTTGTGTTTTAGGTTGAGAAAGTATATGAACTGATACTACATTATAATAGAGCCAGTAGCATTCAAAAAAATCTAAACTAGTATCGTGCGATGCACGGCCTATAAATTTGTAGTAGTTAATGTTAATTTTATTTTATTTTTACATTTTAAAGTATATTATGTATATTGTAAATAATAGAATTGACAGTTACATACGTTCATATGGAAATAATTATTATATAAATAAATATCCTGCCTTTTAATATACTATTTTTATATACATGATAATTAATTTCATAATTACAAATAAAAACTCTTAATTGCAGGGAGACTTTTGCGATATTCCAATCTACCAAATAATTTTAAAATAATTTATTACATCATTTCAAACCTTTTAATAGGTTACTTTTAAATTAACATATATAATTAAATTATTCTACCCAATTATATATATCATTTCTAAATATGATCCTAATAAGTCTATATGATGTACGATATATATGTATATAATAATATATAAATATAGTATTATTCTATTATACCTATAAGTAATTATGGAATTGACAATTACATACGTTCATATGAAAATATTTATTATATAAATAAATATTCTGCCTTTTAATAAACTATTTTTATATATGGTAATTAATTTCATAATTACAAATACAAATTCCTGAGACTTTTGCGACATTCCAATTTGTCAAATAATTTTAAAATAATTTATTATATCATTTCAAACCTTTTAATAGATTATTTTTAAATTTTTAAATTAATATATATATAATTAAATTATTCTACCAATTATATATATCATTCCTAAATACGATCCTAATAACTATATATGATGTACGATATATATGTATATAATAATATATAAATATAGTATTATCCTATTATACCTATATATGTAATTATGGAATTGACAGTTACATAAATTCATATGGAAATAATTATTATTTAAATAAATATCCTGCCTTTTAATAGACTATTTTTATATTTTTATATATGGTAATGAATTTGATAATTACAAATAAAAATTCCTAATTGCAAGGATACTTTTGTGACATTCCAATCTGCCAAATAATTTCAAAATAATTTATTTTATCATTCCAAACCTTTTAATAGGTTATTTTTAAATTAATATATAGAAGTAAATTATTCTACATACCCAATTATATATATCATTCCTAAATCTGATCCTAATAACTATATATGATGTACAATATATATGTATATTTTTTTTGGAATAATATATATGTATATAATAATATATAAATATAATACTATCCTATTATACCTATATGTAATTCTCAAATTGACAATTCCATACGTTCATATGGAAATAATTATTATATAAATAAATATATTTCATGCCTTTTAATAGACTATTTTTATATATAGTAACTAATTTCATAATTACAAATAAAAATACAATATGAAAAAGTAATGTAAATCTTTAATGTAAAAAAATACACAGAATTTCTCCACAAGAAATAACTTAGAAATAGAAAAAAAAAAAAAGTAATTTTACCACTGCATAATTGTAACAACAACCGAATTGTATCGTTGCATGCCCTTTGCCCAATTGAAATTGTTGTAGCAAAGAACGTACTCCAGTCCGACTTCATCGCAATGTTGCCCATCGAAGTCGCCACCTTCCCATTGCACGCGGTTATAGATAGGAATCAGGCGCTCCCAAACCTCCCTAGCCTTCTAGCATTTCCTTACAATATGATCAGCATCTTCATCAACTTCGGGGCAGAAGACACATCACACATGCGCCATCAACAGGGAGAACTCTCCTCCATCTTTCTACATTGCACAGGATGCGTTGATGGTAGAAGGGCGGTGTATTCTGCCTTCAATGGGCTTAGGATAGGAAGGTCAAAAAATTGTAAATAAAATTGTAAGTTAATTTTTACTACATCATTATAACAATATTTATTGTAACAATATATTTTGAATTATTTATTATCTTCTTCTATTGACAACAATTGTAGCAATTGTTATTGACAAACTCCCACAACAATTTGTCTCAACATCGAATGGAAATAAAAAAAAAAAAAAATAAAGGAAGTTATCACTGCAATATATCAACATACGCTTGCAAGATAAAGAATTTATAGTACAACTAAGGTCCAGACATATACACAACAAGGCAAATCTAAAACTTTCTACACCATATTCTCATTGCATGACCATTCCCTCTATGCTACCACCAGTAACCCAATTGTTAGGGGTGTGCAAACTTCGGTGAAAGTTCGGTTAACTGACTGAATCGAAGAATTTCAGTTAACTGTTCTTTAACCGAAAACTTCGGTTCGGTTAATGGTTAAAGGATTTACAAAATTTCGGTTAATGGTTAATTCGGTTCAAAACTATCGGTTAATCGAATTAACCGAACGGTTAACCAAAATTATATATATAATTCAATATATATGGATGATTGAGCGTTATAATTTGTACTTTTATTTTTGTAGTGTTGTTATGGTATTGTGTTTGTATATTTTCTTATGAATTTACTCTTATAGGTATTATTTTAATTGAATTTAGAGTTAATCAACGATTTGGTCCCTCAATTATTAGCGAACTATCAATGTAGTCCCTCAATCGGTTATTCATCAATTTGGTCCCCGAAAATAATTGTTTTTAGTCGATTTAGTCCCTCCGACTATAGCCCGTCAACAAGTCGGTGAGAGCTCCGATTTAGCAAGGGAATTTTGGTCTTTTCTTGTCTTCAGCCCTCTTCTTACCAAGCATGGGATCTTCATCATAGTCCGGTGCTTTGTTTCACCATAGCCATGACATTATTAGACGTTGGAGTGAACAAATTGAAAACTTGGTTTTCACCTTTAGCCTCCACCACGTCCGATTCCCCTTGCCAACCCTGTTTAGTAAGGGTGGTGACCCGGTAACAAGCAAAACCCTAGGTTTCCCATTCATGGAATTAGGAAACGCAGGGTGTCTCTCGAACCATACCTTCCGTTGTTCGTCTCATCTGGTGATTTTGAGGCCCAGCGAGAAGGTCTCGTTGAGGCGACTGAGGAACCGATCCTCTAACTAGTCATCCGGATCGTCGGGGGTCCTTGTTGAACCAGATCTCATGAGGATCCAATTCGTCTCGTCGATCAGGTACGAGTTTTCGAGGTCCGCGTCGGAGGAAGCGAGGTTGCCGACGCCGATGGTGCCACGGAGGATGAGGATGGCGAAGAAGCTTTAGAGGATGGTGATCTTGATGTTGTTGATGGTTCGCAAGATCTGGCACCCGCGAGGGACCTGGGGGCTAGCTCGGCTCCTGGAATCTCCATTCACGGCGGCTCTGGCGTCTGTAGCAGCGGTGGGAAGCGCTCCGGGTCTGTGAGAGAAAGCTGGGTGCGAAACCTCTCTCTCTCTCTCTCTCTCTCTCTCTCTCTCTCTCTCTCCATACAATTTCTCGGGTTAGTGTAGAGTGTTATTGTGATGGTGGAACCTTTCATGGGGCCAATTTCTGGCGTGACCCCCCGTTTGGCTCAAGAAATTACTGTTCTCGCAGGTATTGTTGATTGTGGGTCTGTGCGTCTTTCTGGAGGTGTATGTTTTCCGACGAAAGTTTCACTCTGCAATTATTAGCGAACTGTCAATGTAGTCCCTCAATTATTAGCGAATTGTCAATGTAGTCCTTCAATCGCTTATTCATCGAAAGGTTTCACTTTGGAGGTGTATGTTTTCTGAGAAAACAACCTTTGTCAAAAAAAACAAAAAAAAAAAACAAAACAAAAAACAAAACAAAAAAAAAACAAAACAAAAAAAAAAAAACAAAAAACAAAAAAAAAAAAAAACAAAAAAAAAAAAAAACAAAAAAAACAAGAAAGCAACCTGAGTGTCTAAGGTCATCTCCGATCTTCTACACCAAATTTCATTTCAAATTTTACACCAAAAGGAATATTCCCAGCATATTCTTACACAAAAAGTTTTCCATCTCCAAGACTCCAACCCATTACACCAAATTCTACACCAAATTTTATTTCTTCACTAAAATAATTTATTTTCTCATAACTTAAGACTTTGTATTATCTTTAAATATTTTAATATAAAATATAATTATAATGCAAATATTATGTTAATTTTGTTTAAAGTAATTTTTGATTTAATTTGCTTTAATTGTGTTAAATTTATGCTTTATATGTAGTTTCATTTTTAATTATTCAATCTTCAATATTAATCTTAATTTAATCGTCTTGATGAAATCTTTTGAATGATATAATTTATGTTTATAATATAAAATTTATAAATAAAAACAAAGGGTAGTTTGGGAATAAACAATTTTGTGTGAGATGAACAGTGTAGCGCCAAATTTGGCGCTGCACAATTCATCTCACACCAAATATTTGGTGGGATGTCGTGTCCTTTGGAATTTATTTGCACTTTTTTTTTTTCTTTCCTGTTTTGGTTATTTGGTGTGCCCTTAGAGATAGTCTAATAAAAATTAAATACAAATAAGTTTGACAAAAAATCCATCATTATGTCATTATATGATCATAATACACACTCAGTCTATAACGACATCTACCTTCCAGCATATATCAATATATCGTTCATCAGAATGTTCAAGAATTCTAGGGGTAATGTAAAAGAAATAAAATATAATATAAATTGGTAGCGTCAGATAATTTCGCAAGGAAAATTTCAAGTCTCTTTAAATTAGCTAGGCTATGCTAAAATCCACTATTATATTGTTCTTGGATTGTGCATGTACAAAATGATGGGTTGTATAATGTGCGCACAAAGAGTACACAAGTCTATATTAGGGGAGGGATAAGTTTTTTTTTTTTTTTTTTTTTTTGAATGCTACTGACTCTATTACATAATATCTATTCAAACATATTTTCTCAACTTAATGAAACACACAGAGT